CACTCGAAAGGGGAGCGAGGGATGCAGTGGGGAGCAATGGACCCTGCCTCCTGGTGAACAGCGGGCTCTGCTCCTGGGACAAGTAGGGAACATGAGTCCCAAATTGTTTTGCCTTTCCTGGAATCCCAGAGCAATGGGCTGCACGGGTCCCTGGGGAATCACGTAACCTCCTGTGCCAGGGATGTGCGCCAGGGATGTGCTGGCACTGGGAAGCTGCGTACAGCGCAGGAAACACTGGGAAGGGAGGAGCCGGTCCTTGCTGTGGGGACAGGGAAGCCTTTGCACTGGGAGCACAGGGTGGGTCAGCACCGTGCGTGACTCGAGGATTCATGGGACCAACGCTGAGCACAGCCCCAGAACAGCACAAAAGGCCAGAAAAACACACTGGGGACATGCAGTGCTGGCAGTGGGACGGGTGAGGAAGGGCTCCAGGGAAAGGGCACATCCAGAGGGGAGCAAGGAGCTGGAGCAGGCTCAAGCCCTGCCTGGGGGTGTTGACTGCCCAACCATGCAGCTGAAAAACATCCCACTGAAAATGCCAATGGGCTTAAAACAAATACATCATCCCCAGGCAGGAGAGCAGGAACCTCGGAGATGTGGGAAGATGTGGCACATACCAATGGGGGTGGAAATGCCCACAGTAGAAATCAGGTTTGGGTTTTGCATCCCAGCTGGAGGGATGGGGGGATCTGTGAGCTCTCCCCTCTAGGAGAAGACAGCCTTGCCCCCTGCCCAGTACCTGTACTGCTCCATGTCCAGCTTGTTGCCCAGCAGGAGCACAGGACACTGGCTCTGGCAGCCCCTTGCGTGCAGGGCCAGGACCTCCAGGTAGCGCTGGCAGCCCTCGAAACTCCTCCTGTCATCGATGCTGTACACCACCAGGAAGGCGCTGGCCCAGCACAGGTAGCGCTCGCAATTCCCGGGGCCGTCCTGGAGGCAAGAGGGGTGGCTGAGCTGTGGTCCAGCCGCATCCAGCTGGATGGATGCACCAGCACTGCCCCGGTGTCTCACCTCGTCAGCCGTGTCCATCACCTTCAGCACCACGGGCTGCTGGTCCACCAGCTCCTCCGAGGTGTAGGTGTCCTCTGCAAGGAGAAGGGTGGTTGTGAGGGTGGGCTGGGGTGTCCCGTCTGCTCCAAAGCCAAGCAAAGCTCCAGATGCTTGGGATACCATGGAAAAATCTGAGCCCCTGATGAGGAGCATCCGCCACCGACACCTCCCACCTTGCTCCTTCCTGAGACAACATCACTTTGAGGGACTGGTGGTGGTGCTGCTGGGAAGCCTGGCTAGGAACACTCATTTCTCTCTGTGTGCTGAAAGTGTGGGCTCCCATGGGATAAGGAGGGAGGGAAGGAGCCCGGCACAGCCGTCGCTGCACCCAGGGCTCAGCCCTTATCTAAATGCCACGACATAGTGAGATAAAGCGAGTTTGGGGCTTGACAGCGGGGCTGTTTCCCAATTAATCAGGCAAAAGCAGCACCCTTTTCCTTTGGAAGAAGGGCAGGCAGAGCCGCTGCACCGATCCCCTGGGAGAAGGATGCCTTCTCCCGGCTGGTCCTAACGGATGCGTTTCAAAAAGGTCTTGACGTGGGAAGATGAAACCACATTCCTAAAAAAGATCTGAAGAGGAAAGGATTTATCCTTCTTTCCTAAGAGTCACTGAGTTATGAGGGGCTGGAGTCGGTTCCTGGACAAGATCCACATCTCCCTAATGTCCCCGATAAATCATTCCTGGTTCTTCCCCGCGCCCTGGAGCCCAGCCTAGGAAAATAGCGATTAGTTACTCAAACGAGTCAAAAGTAATGCTCAGAACCGCTCATTGCAAAGCACAGCCCCTGGGGCCACCCGCTCTGCAGCCCCCCTTGTCCCCAGCCCTTCCCTGCCTGACACCCCAGCAGCAAGCAGGAGGCTCCCCAGAGGACCCCCAATAGCTCAGCTGTCAGGTTTTGGGGTGATGGGACATTGCCCGCAGGGAGAGCGCTGCCTCTGTTTGTACAGGCGGGTTTGGGTCAAATCCAGCCCTTCTGTTGTTTTTCATGTAATTTTGGGTGCTGCTTTTTTTTCTCCTTAAGTGCCACATTCGTGGGAAACACGGAGACCGGGAGGATGCTCCATGGGAGCTCATGGGGGGAAAACACCCGCAGAGGCAGCATCTTACCCAGGTTTGGATCATATTCACTAATGAACCTCTTGGTCAGAAACTTCACGG